AGCCTCAGCCACTACGGCTCGCACAGGTGCCCGCGATTTGCTACGGCGGGCGGTGCCTGCTCTCTCTCCGCGCCTATGGCTTTACAAAAACACTCTAGAAGTAGGGCAGACAAGACTACGTGGAGTCGGGGCGTGCTGATTTAATTCTAGTACAGATTCGATCAGATCAGATATCTTATCTATAAAGTCAGGTTTCCTTCGCTCCCGCCACAACCTTCTAACCTATTACAACTGAAAGTATTTCTGGGTGTTCAAGTATTTCCGGGCAGTTTTAAACAATTCAGAAATAAAACACAGTATATTATAATCATTTCTTTATTGTTTATAAATATAATTTATTATTTTTATTAATTCCTCAAAAGGATCTCTTTTATTGTTTATAATTACTCTGCTCCATAAATATTCATATATCAAGTCGGTAAAATTTTCTGTATTATTATAGTTGTCTTTAGCTAAATAACTTTTGACGAAACGCCACTGAGACACAATTCTTTGAGTATGGCTGCCGTCTGCTGCCACAGAAGGGTTTTCATCGTCACTTTGATTTACCTTTATGTGTATGTACCCATAATTTTCTAACCTATCATAAGCCCGCCAAAAATTAGTATGGATGACGGTGCCTTCAGCCACCTGTTTTTGAATCTAGGGCATTAAAACTTCAGAAGATCGCACATTTTGGTGGCAAATTTCTAGTCTCAAATCTTCACTGTCTTTTCGATCATGCCCAGCACCCAATGACCTTCAATGTGCCGGCCTAAAACAAGAATAAGTATGACTTTAAAATTTTATTGATAAAATTTGCCTATATCATCTCCAGGTCCATTTAACCATAACTCACCTTTATTATATTTCCTTTTTCCAAATTTATTTTCATCAATTTGGACAATTTTTCCTGGACCGCCAATTTTTCTCAGGAAACTTTGTTTCTCTATTTCATAAATGAAGACAGCCTCCCAAAAGGTGTTAGTAATAGTTGCTCTAGATAAACAATGTTCCCTTTCTCAATAATCTTCTTTTAGAGTCATATTGTGATACTCCACTTATTTGCATATGCATACATTAGGTAAAATACTTAAGTCATTGTTAATTTGACATTCTCAAACCAAGTGGTTTAAGAATGTTTTTGGCATTGCTAACTTTTGACTTAGATCTGCATGGGACTCGATGGCAGACAAATGAGTCCACCATTCTATTGGTGAAGTATTCTACACACATACTTTTTTATGGCAGCTATTTGTTGCTGAGATCATACCTTTTTCCTCAGCAAAATCAATAGTTTGCTCCTGTGTGCCAAGTTTTTGGTACACAGTGACCAAATTCCACATTACTTTCATCTCCTCGACATATAAATGGCGTTTAACTGGCGGTTCACCACTGTCAAAATCGCGACTTGTAGATGGCTGAGGTTCCTCCGAATCAGACATTTTCAATATTACACACGTAGCGTCCGGTGTAGAAAAGCAGGTAAGTCGTGTATGCTTACACTTACACAGCAATCGAAATCCAAATGCGCGCACAGGTCAATCAAGTAAGCACAAAATCGGTGTCCGGGGTAGAAAAGTACATGAGTCGTCGTGTAGGCAAGCAATCGGTTTCCAAAAAAGAGAAAACAGTCGTCGATAAAAGTTACAATAATACATTGGAGAACATACATTCACGCAAGAAGAGAAACCAATGGCGGAATGCATAAAAACATAGATTACCGTTTACATAAAAATTAGTATATCATGCGATTTGACACTTGACAGAGAGTATAGACCACGAGGCAAAGTATAGACAGTGGAATTATGTTACACTAGTTTTACCTCTTTGTCACACTTACACAAAATTCTGTATGTTATCCAGCTTTCACAATAATATTAATATTGCATACGTTTTTCCATGTTTACACATTTTAGGTTATAATAGTTTTTATTTATTTTTTCGATAACGATGCATTACCTTTTAATGTGAGTGGTATTATTATAATCGGGGATCAAATCTCTACCAAATAAAACACCTTACTCCCCCAAATTCCTGCCAAACGATTCTAAATCTAAACCTAATTTTAATTAAGATAAACTTAGGAGCACAATTTCGACTTATTCTACACCTACCGTCGAAAAAAAAATTTCTACATTCGTCATTTTTAATAAAAGAAATCGATTAAAAACTTCGCAGGGTATATAAACTGAAGTACAAACATAGATATTACACATATTTTCTTTCACTATATTGTGTACAATTTCACAATATAGTGCGCCGGAAGTATCTTTAGTAGTGTAGTTGTACCACTTCTAGACCACCTGAGTCAGACCCGATCCTAAAAAAAAAAAAAAAAAAAAAAAAAAAAAAAAAAAAAAAAAAAAAGGTTTTGGCATGCTCTGATCACGAATCCGCGGTCCATTTTTGTGTAGAATGCACGGTTCCGGAGATGTGTAGATCAATTAGCTAATATCTAATTGATATCCGGTAAGGGCCTCCACTGTCATTAGCGTCCCATTGTTCCTATTTCTATTGTTCTATTGTTCATTAATCACCTTCATTGCAGCGTGTGCGTCGACTATATCAGTGCTATTGTATTCTTTGTTCCTAATTATACAACGCTAATCTGAATCATCAATAAAACACATTACATAATTTTGTTACAATTTTTATTTCTTTGAACATTGATTGAACATCCTTGAAACTTATATAGCAAATACATTAAGCAATATTCGCCACAAACTGAAGTCCACTCATTCTGAATCCTATCAACATTCCAGTTCCATCTTTTACAATTCCTTTTTAAAAACTCTAGATGATATCGTACAGGTGATCGTCCATATGAATCAAAATATTGACCGACGTCATTCGTATCGATATATAAAGCTACCCAATGTGACCCTGGTTTATCATCTGTATCCAAATTACATATTATATACGTTGGTACGTGGGTATACATAGGCAGTCTATTAGCTGCATAAACATTATTTTCTAGACTGGGGTGAATCTTTTTCAGATGTTGTTGTACATCTAGTGTATCCATGATATTACTGCTATTAGTAGATTATTACAGTACCTAGCTACTCAATGAATAACATAGGAATGGTCAATTATAGTGATTTCTACATATTAAATTGCATTTTTGTGTTATACAAATCGTACTTGAGTCATTGATCACCAAACAAAACACAATACGAAGAAATGTTGAGATAGGCAACGGAAATGTGAGATAAACTGATATGTTTCTAAATATTAAATTGCATTTTTGTGTTATACAAATCGTACTTGAGTCATTGATCACCAAACAAAACACAATACGAAGAAATGTTGAGATAGGCAACGGAAATGTGAGATAAACTGGTTGACGCATAAAGTAATTATCAACTCATTACGGAAATACTTTAGATTAGAATTTTTACGTACTGGTGGTATATAAGACCAACAAACGCAGTCATCGAGTTAGTGTACGGTCGTTTGGCTACAGTGGATCTATCAATAGTACATTTTGTGTTACTTCAATACACCAAAGGCTATGGATGTAAGTGTTTATTCTATTGACTAAATTACTTTTTTTCTGTTATTTTCATGTGTGTGTATTATTTTATTTAAATATTGTGTATGTATATGATTAAGCCGTGGTAACTCAGATGGTTAGCGCTAGCTGTAAATTTCACAGTACGCGACCCGGGTTCGATCCCCGCCAGCACCAATTAAATTGTTAATAGCAATTTTAAGTGCTTATTACCACGTGCTTGGTGGTGAAGGAAAACATCGTGAGGAAACCTGCATGTCTGAGAAAATTTCGAAGGCATGTGAAGTTCGCCAACACACATTGAGGGAGCGCGGCGGACATTTCCTTGCTCTAAAACCCTCTCAGAAATGAGAGGAGGCCTATGTTCAGCAGTGGACTTTAATAGGCTGTAACTTTAACTTTTTTAACTTTTATGATTAAGTGTTAACAAATTGATATTAACATGATAACTGTGTTGTTGCAGAAATCATTGAGCTTCGATGAAGATACCTATAAACAGTATTACTACGCGCCACTCTCCCCTCAAGAAGAGAGTGATGACCTCGTCATTAATAATAACACATGCGATGGTGGAAAAAGAAAATCGCAATCGATTGATCATTTTTTTGAAGCTGAATCAAAAATAAAAAAGAGGAAGCTGTTATCATCAACCGTAGCACGAGCCGCTAGAGATGGTGTATCATACATTTCTACTAATTCTGACGACGGAGACCAAGCGACGCATCTCATCAAAATTGAAATGTACGATATGAAGAAGCTATCCAAGATTCCAACTACTGATCATTGGAAACATGCTTCCACGAGAATTAAATATTACGTAAAGACTAATAAGGATAGCATCTACGACAATACAAACGCCCTCGTATACAATATAACAAAGACAATAGCAGAAAGTGAAAAAGTTAAAAAATACTTTTTTAACAATGACAGTCATTAGCTGATCATTAGTGAATGTGATTCTGTTTACTTCAATTACAGGAAGACAAGAGCGGAAGGAAGAGATGAGTGTGGCATACGTGTACAAAACACATCATTGAATAACAAAACTACAACACTGAGTGGAGAAGAAAACGAGAAGAGTATGCAGTACTCAAGAGCTGAATATCCATTCTTCAGTTCAAAATCTAGCCGTTTGCTTAGTTTCGAAAACTGGCCTCTAGTTATGCGACAGAAACCTGAAGATCTTGCAGAAGCTGGTTTCTTTTATACTGGCCATGCAGACGGGACCAAGTGTTTCCATTGTGGTGGTGGTTTAAAAGATTGGGAAGATGATGATGATCCTTGGCAGCAGCATGTTCAGTGGTTTAGTCAGTGTGCTTATGTAAAATTTCAACTCGAACAGTGTTTTGTATTAGATTAAATAGAAGATTTATAAAGAAATAAAAAAAAAATATATTGCATACAATTTGTTTTATTTAATTTTATAACGTTTCACATAGTTACATACACACAAAATGCATTACACATAACACATAAAATCTAACACACAACACATATTATAACCTTAACTACTATAGTCTACAGTAACATTTCTGTTTTTATCTATCTCAATAATATTATCAAACTCAGCATAAACTATACAGTTAATTGTTTGTATTAATGAGGATTCAAATCGTACTTCTATTCTTACACTACCATGCTTTATGAGATTCCAATGAGTTGATGAGTTAGCTGATAAATCAGGAGTTAAGGCAAATGCTAATAGACAGTAACCTTTGCCATACTGTTCACAAGAGATTCCATTTCCTTCATTAAGAAAGTGAATACCAGTTCCCGAGAATAGAGTATGATATGCTGATGTAAATATGCTATTATTAAAAGATGGTTGCAAAGCTTTTGAAGGTATTTGTTGACCATCAATATATAAGCTGAAAGAATTAATACCATAGTTTTCAAAGTTAAATGGATTTTTAGTAAGGGAACCATTAAATGCAGAATTGTTCACAAATGCAATTATACATCTTTTTTTTTTTTTTTTTTTTTTTTTTTATAGAATAGGGGGCAAACGAGCATGCGGCTCACCTGATGGTAAGTGACTACCGCCGCCCATGAACAACCGCAACACCAGGGGGATTGCAGATGCGTTGCCGGCCTTTTAGAAAGGTGTAAGCTCTTTTCTTGAAGGTTCCTAAGTCGTATCGGTTCGGAAAATTCGCTGGTGGTAATTGATTCCACAAAGAAGTTGTGCGAGGGAGAAAACTTCTTCTAAATCGCACAGTGGTGGACCGCCAATCATCCAGATGGTACGGATGGTAACGCGAGTTTTGTCGCGACGTGCGATGGTGAAATTGAGCGGCTGGAATTAGTCCGAACAATTCCTCAGAGCACTCCCCGTGATAGATGCGATAAAATACGCAAAGAGATGCAACATCTCTACGCAGTGCCAGTGTATCGAGCCGATCGGAAAGAACTCGGTCGTCGACGATTCGAATCGCTCTGCGCTGGATGCGGTCAAGTGGAAGGAGCTGGCACTGGGGTGCCCCGGCCCAGAGATGAGAACAGTATTCCATGTGGGGCCGAACTTGAGCTTTGTAAAGTTGCAAGCGATGTGCCGGCATGAAATACTGTCTCGCTCTGCTGAGCACGCCAAGCTTTTTAGAGGCCAATTTGGCCTTCCCTTCCAAGTGACCACGAAACTGCACGCTATTCGATATGTCGACGCCAAGGATTCCGATACTGGCTGAGGCAGCAAGGGGAGTGCCTTGAAACTGAGGAGATACGACAAAGGGGTTCTTTTTAGCGGTAAACGCGCAAACTTGTGTCTTCTGGGGATTGAACTGGACTAGATTTAGTCGGCCCCAATCCGAGACTTTGTTAAGCAAAGACTCGACTTCAGACACAAGTTTGTCCCGGTACTCGGCGACGTTTTCCCGAGAAATATTGGCACGGCCGGTATATAAGGCATCCCCAGTGCTGTCGTCTGCATAGCAATGAATGCTACCAGTTAGCAACATATCATTGATATGCAGGAGGAACAGCGTTGGTGATAGCACGCAGCCTTGTGGAACACCAGCGTAGATAGGCTTGTAATCAGAGCATGCACCGTCTACTACGACCTTGATGCTCCGATCAGCAAGGAAACTGGTGATCCATTTGCACAATTTCTCGGGAAGCCCATAGGAAGGAAGCTTCGAAAGAAGCGCCTTGTGCCAGACCCGATCGAAGGCCTTCGCTATGTCCAAACTAACGGCCAATGCCTCCCCCTTGGACTCTACTGCCTCCGCCCATCTATGAGTTAAGTAAACTAGAAGATCACCTGCTGATCGACCCCGACGAAAACCGTACTGACGGTCACTGATCAGCTGGTGATCCTCAAGGTACCTCATGAGCTGGCAGTTTATAATGGATTCCATTATTTTGGAGAACAAGGAGGTGATGGCGATAGGCCTGTAGTTGGACGGGTCTGAGCGGTCGCCTTTTTTAGGGATCGGGTGGACCAAAGCTGTCTTCCATGAATTCGGGACTACGCCTTGGGAGTAGGAGTACCGGAAAAGATGCGTTAAAACCGGTGCCAACTCTGGAGCACACGTCTTCAGCACAATGGGAGGGACTCCATCGGGCCCACTCGACTTACTGACGTCCAGGGAGAAGAGTGCTTTGCGAACCGAGCGCTGTGTAAATCGCACATCCGGCATGGAGCACTCACATCGCGGGATGGTCGGCGGTGTGTTCCCCCCGTCATCTAGAGTCGAGTTAGACGCAAAAAGAGAGCACAACAGATCGGCTTTCTCTTTTGCGGCATGGGCCAGTGAGTCGTCCTCTCTGTGCAGAGATGGGAGGGATGGCTGACAGAAGTTCCCTTGGACAGCCTTGGCGAGAGACCAGAATGCACGGGTTCCCGAAGGAAGGCGAACTAGCTTCTCGCCAATTCTGCCGATGTGCTCAGACCTTGCCTTGGCAATGACGCTTTTGAAGGACCTGGAGGCGGAATTATACTTCTTTTTAAGTGCGCTGGTGTTTAAATCCCGAGACGTTGATGCGTCAGCCCAGGCCCGGTAGCACTCCTGCTTATAGCGTGATGCTATTTTACAGGAGCGATCAAACCATGGCTGGGATCTGCCTCCGATGGGCACCACAGAGGATGGAATAAAAAGTTCCATACCCTGAAGCACCACATCAGCAACAGAATCGGCAACAACGCTGGGATCTTCCGGCGAGAAGCAAACCCGCCCCCAAGGGTAGGATGCAAAAAAAGACCGCATCCCATCCCAATCAGCTGACCTATAGTGCCAAACACGGCGGCAAGCTGTAGATCGCAACTGCGATTGGAGCGTGAGTGGCACCGTGCTCCGGATCAGACAATGGTCCGAAGAGCCCAGAGGGGCATCGACGGAGACCTGATATCCGTCCGGATGAGAGGTCAGCAGAAGGTCCAACAGGGAAGGTACATGGTCTTCCACATCTGGGATCCGCGTAGGCGAAGTAACCAGTTGTGTTAGACCATATGCCAAAGCAAAGTCGTAGACAGATCTACCCGCATGATCGGTTAAACGAGAACCAAGCCATTCAGCGTGGTGGGCGTTGAAATCACCGAGTATCACGATCTCTGCGGATGGGACATCTTTTCGGTACCTGTCCTAAAAATATATTATCAAGAGTTTTTCCTTGAACACCCGAAGGAATTGTTAAAACTTTTACTTCAGCTCGAGTAATAGGATATTTAGCAGTGGTAGAAGCTAAAACTTTTTGATGTGCGAGTAATACACTTGGATTAATTCGTGCTCGTCGAACAATAAGAGTTGCGTCCGTAATACAAACTTTAAACTTTACATCGTTTGATCCAACAATTAAATTAAAACTCTCTCTTGATCGAACCAATTTAACACTCATTTCAACACCATTAATTAAAAATTTATCTTGGTTAAAAATGTCACCGTGAAGATGACCAATCATTTCTATTTCCTTACTTTCACTAATCAATTCCTGTCTTTTAACAAATCCTATGTTTTTACCATCTGTAGAATCCATTTTTCCTGCTGTATCCTCATACCAAAGACTACAAGTAAGATGAGATTGTTTAGCAGCAGGGGCATAGTTTAAAAGGGTTTCCATGTATGCTCGATATGCATAGGTATTATTAGGTGGTGATACAAGTTTTTGGTTTAAATAAACATCAAGTTGACTAAAAAGTGAATGCAGCCAATTATTTACAGGTAGTAGATACCAAGTTAGTTGAATCTTGATTTAATACTTTTGCCTTTATGTGAAGTAATGTATGAGACAAATCTATGTAGTCATCGCCGGTCCCAGGAACTTGAAACTCGATAGGTCCATCATCACCAAGAGATGAAATTGGTTTATAATGAATCCACAATCCATTTTCAATGCTAGTTTGTGTAGACGGTAGTGCAAACAAATCCAATTCTGACTTAACGCACTCGCAAGAATGATTATGAAGGAAAGACATATTTAGTTTGAAAATATATCTTTGATATTTTTTGGTTTTAGACTAAGTTTTTTCGCAGCTTTCACTTTAGCAGTTAATGGTGGAATGAACGATGTCAATCGTTTTCTTTTAGTTTTATACCCAGATCCAGTCATGTTAAATTGATCAATTTTCTCATCAGCCTTTCGTTTTAAATTCGTACTAACTTGCTTTAGACGATCTTTTATTGAGGCTTCCATAGGACGGGCTTGAACCATATCCGATAAAAGTCCTACTCCAGCGCTTAATGCCTCCTTACCAATCACTCGAGCACCACTTGAAAGTAAAGGTAAAACTGATCTGAATAACCCCCCTAAGAAGCTCCCAATACCATGACCGCGTTGATATGGTGAACCCTTATAAATTACTCCAACTCCTGATCCAGCTTGATGTGTATAATAATTTTCATATGGACATTTATGATGATCACGAAGAGAATTCATTATTATAATTTTCGGAAATGTAGTTTAATACACACGGTTCCAAACTGGAATGGTATTTTTTGTCCTGTACTCGATCTTATAACTATTTCCAACGTATCGAACTCTCTTCGCATAACAGGTAAGTAGTGAGGTTGAGAGAAAACGTGCATTTTATTTGCACCATAAATGTATTTTGTAGGATCTAATGAAATGACTCTTAATAAAGGAGTCATAACATCACCCACAATCTGAGGATCGATAATATCGCAATATAGAAATAGTTGAGATGGTAACCCTAAGTGTAAATTAGCAGGACACTTTCCAAAATTTCTCTCTAGGAGATTTTTATTTGGTTCATAACCTAGCTGTAAACTTAATTTGGGTGATAATGTTACGGATGTTATATTTTTATCCAATACCGAAATAGACACAAATTTTGTTATTTCATCATAGCGAAATTTCAAGTTCTCTCCGATACCATTTAACACTCTTAAAATATGCTCAACGTTATCATAGTTGGTAGCTGGAATATGTTTTTTGTAGTACACTGTGGATGGCTTATCTTCATTAGGCATTAACATAGATTTTGTAATGTATATAACATTTTCATGGTCTTGAACAGTAAACATGGTACATGGATATTGAAACTCGACAACTCCAACCGACCATTCACCTTCTAATTTTATAGCTTTTGGTAATTTCGTTGAAAAATTTGTAGTCTTGTTATCAGGAAAGTATTCCATTGAACTATTGCTGAGCAAAGTTAAATAGAAACTTTCTTTATTCATATTTCTTTTAAACTAGAAGCTAAAATCCAACTGTTAAATTTATCTGGATAACCTTTCCACTTCACTAATACTTCTTTTCTGTTACCTGAATAACGAGTGTCAATTATTTTATCTATTTTATGTTGTGAGGTGGGGTTGTAAGTGATTTTCTGTAATTCTCTTTCATAAAAAGTACCAATTATTGGTTCATTTTGTAAATCTGTTATTGTATAAACAACCCATGGAGATCTATCAATTATTGAAGATATAATAAATATTTCATCACTCCAATTTGATTCATATCCTTTTTGGAATACATGTTTATATTTAGTTATTCGAACATAATCACCCACATTGAAATTTGGTTTAGGATTTTCTAAAGAAAGTTTTTTTGACCGTCTGTCATAAAGATTAGTCCAAACTGTCATAATATTGTTGGAATTTACATCACATGGGCACATCTTAATACTAGAGTGAAAGCTGTGATTATAAGAGTATATTAAATCTTGTAAAACATCTATATATCTATAAGTATTATTATGAGTGAAATAACGCCACATTTTCATTTTTGTGTTCTTTGAAATCGTTCAACAATACTGGCCTTAATGTCAGGATTGTTAGTGGTATAGTAATTAATCTTTTTGGATTTAAAGTATTTTTGTACATCTTTTGAAACAAATTCTGTACCTTTATCGGATTGTATGTGAGTAGGTGTTAAATTACTTTCAGTAAATATACTTTCAAAACATTCTTTAGTTGTTTCTGAGTTTTTCTTTTTCATTGGTCTTGCAAAAGCATATTTACTAAATACATCAATAATACAAAGTATATACTTGAAACCATCATTATATTGAGAATAAGTTCGCATATCACTTAAATCAGCTTGCCACAGTTCATTAATATTTGATAGAATGTACCTATTACGCGGGAATTTTTTTCGAATGGGTTTATGTAATGTGTATGTTTCTTGTGATTTTAACCATTCCTTTACTTGCTTTTTATTCATTTTACCCTTCATGGCTTTTGATAATTTATCAATACTACCAAAACCAGCGGGATTAGATGGATCATAATAAATCCTGTTAATTTCTTCTAGTACGGAGTCCATTTTTCCCACTCAAGTCCTTTACGTATTTTAGTTGTAGACTTTTTATCTCTACTGCACGGTGTAGAAAACTCTTGAACTTCAATCTCAGAGGGTTTGTTCAGATCTTTTGCTTGAAGTTGGTTAATAAACTCACATCTCCTTGGATTTCCAATATAAGTAAGTGGTACTTTAATATCTTTTAATGCTTCAGCAAATCTAACCCACCCTACCGGATCACTTCTTTTTAGGGGTCTTAGTGAATCATTTATTAAATCAACAATATTACTTCCAGGAATTTTTTCACTATCAATTATGACTGTACCTTCGTTATCCCAATGTATTTTACTTTTACTTGTTTCAACTAAGTTTAATAATAACTGCCCTTTTTTATGATAAGTTTTTGGTATTAAACTGAGTATTTGAGTTGGTGTGTAAAGTGGATTTTCATCATTTTCTTTACTTTTAATGGATCGATTCTCCTCCAGCAAAGATTCAATATCAACTGAAGTTTTTAGATCTCTATCTTTATTTTTAAAACCAATTTTTGACTCATTTGAATCTTCTTTAGATGTATCAGAATAAATTGGTAATTTGAGTGGTTGACGATCCTCTTCGGTAAAATGAAGGTATCTTTGCAGTGTTTGTAAATATAATATCCATTTCTTTCGGTCTTCCGTCTTACTATTCATAATATTTTGCATTTCAATATCTAATCGAGATAAATTACTATTAACCTTATTTTCTTGTTTTAATTTTTCAATCAATCCAGGTTCGATAAGTATCATTTTCTTTGTATTTTCCATGTTAACTGGCTAGTCCACTCACTAATCCACTCAATATTGCACCTAATATTGTTGGTAAGAAAGCCCCTCCTTTTTGTATAATTATATTTTTTCTTAGTTTATGTTTACACTTACGTACTAGTTTACGGAGTATGTTTTTATGTTTATTCAATTTTTGTTTATCCTGATCTTTAAGAGGTACTTTTCCTTGTAAAACGTTATGAATACACTCACAAATACATTAATTTCTTCTTCATCACACGTTTTAAGTAATGCTCTTTGATATTTTGGTTTAAGCGTATGCAAAGCGGTTAGCAAATGTTTATACGTTGTGAGTCGACGATGCATCATTTAGCAATGATTTCAATTGTTTGATTCTTGGTGTATTTAAACTCTTTTGTGGGGACGTAGACTGTACAGAAACCATTAAATGGAAAGACATTTGTCTTGATACGACAAAAATCATTGGTATTCTGTTTTAAATCTACCATTAAATATCCATGCGCCTCTAGAGTTGCATCCCTGTAGGCATTTTCAATGAATTTTGGGTTATCTGGTGATACTTGTCTTGCTAAATATCTTATTTGAGTTTTATCTCGAGGGTTTTTAAAATATATTATATAACTTGAGTTTAAAGATATGTCTCTTTGTCCTTTACCCTGATGAAATAAATTTTGTGTTAGATAAAATACACTAAGATTCCTGTGATGACTACCTTTTGTAAATATATCCACAATTCTTCCATCGGACTCTCTCATTAGATCATCAATAATAACAAGATGTGGGTTTTCACCATCAAACATATTAAGATTTGGAATTCCTTGATGATAGTTAACATTTGGTAAATTATATAATGGTTGCATTTCATCAAAGCACCATGTGATCTGATTAAAATCACAATTACATATTTCTGTAACTGATTTTATGAAATTTGTTACAAAATTTGACTTCCCACACCCACTTGGTCCTGCCACAATAGCAGTGAACGGATGGATAAAGTGAAACATAACACACGTCTAAAGTTCAAAGGGGTGAAATAAAAAATGAAAGTGTTGGTGTAAACAATTAATATATATTCCAAAAATTATATAAAACAGAATTATCTGTATACTATTTCTAACACAATTAGTACATCATAATTTTACAATTAACTCAACCTCAAATAAATAGAAACAACAATTAGTACATCATAATTTTACAATTAACTCAACCTCAAATAAATAGAAACAACAATTAGTACATCATAATTTTACAATTAACTCAACCTCAAATAAATAGAAACAACAATTAACTTAAATTATTTACAATAAAACAATGTTTAAATATGTAATAAACTACGTCATATTATAGTATTATCATAATTTTACAATCAATATAAATTTTTCTTAAACGCAGACATAAAAGTAAAAACTATCAACACTTAACGCAGTTTATAATGACCCCAAGCTAATGTTTCAATATTATTATCTAAAATATGTCTCTTTGTGTCATTATATGATAAACCTATCTTATT